CAGAATTGGTTAGGTAGGTCCTAAAACGATGGTGAATCACCCATTTCCAACTCCTTTGACTGACTAAATCGTGCTCAAACTGATAGTGGAACACTTCTTCTACACGTATGCATCGGTTGGAACCACCAAAACGCATTGGAAGACGCGTTTCATTAAGGGCAAAGTTGGAAGAAAACCAGTTTTTCTGCAGGCACGCTGGCGCCTCCCATGATGTTTTTTCGTCTTTTTGCTTCCTTTGATTAATTTCCACTCCCAAATGGTCCTAAAATGTCATAAATACAATATAAGCCAACCACAAACCATAATATATGAATTTTGCATGAATTGGAACTCAAACGACCAAGAAAAATCTGAAACAAAGCTGAAACATAGTAAAAACAGCATCTAAAACCTTCTTTTTACTGATGTAAACAAGCGTAATCAAAGATTTGACACAACAAATGACTAAAGCCAAAAGTCGGTCGGCACACTGCTCGAAGAACCTATGACCTTCTTGGTCAAAGGGCAAAAAATGAAGACCTCTTTTTGTTTTTGGTCTCGGGCTAAGAAACACATGGGAAACCATGAGTTGATGTGACAACACCTACACAGAAACCCATACTGTTTGACTCGGCGGTCGAGGAGGGTAAGTATTATTGTCAAAAATCTAACCAATATGGGATAGTTACATAATAATTGAGGCATGTTTTTCATAGGTTAACTATGTTTCAAACACTCTTACTCTCAAAGAGATAAAGATAAAAGTTAAAAAAGCATAACCTTGATAGTACGGGGCAACTATTATAGGAGGAAAAAAACGACAGGCAAACAGAGATGACGAAGTGGCGTACCCAAATTGGGCCAGGCCGAGTCTGGTTCGGCCCATGGGCCAAGCCCGACGCTCCCTATTCCCTCCGTCATCTGTTACAAGCCTTCTTTCCTCCGCCATCTGTTACAAGCCACGTGGTGAAGAAATCCTAGAAAAGCTCGAACGACTATAAGTAAAGAGGAAAGCAAACCCTAGAGGTAGGCAAAAACGAGACTAGCTACTTCACACTAAGTTGCTTCGTTAATTGAGCTGACTTTGGCATCGGAGCCCATGTGACTAAGGTCGCACCGGTTTAGACTAATCTGATTTTGTAGGTCCCTGATCATCGAGTTGTTGCAGATCCTGAGGCAATTTGAATTGGAATACAAAGCAAGTGTTAAATGTTTACTAGGGTTGTTGAGGAAGAAATAGAAAAATAGAAGGTTCAACCTATGAGAATAGATGATAGAACAAAATGCTGGTGAAGGAGGGCACATTGGCTAAGAAAAGAAATGGAAAAAAATACAGAGGAGAGTAAGAAAGAAGGCGATGATGAAGAAGAAAGAGGAGAGTGGGGTCCACCTTAAAATGAGAAGGTTTTTGTGATTAAAAATAAATAAGAAAACAAAAAAATGAATAGTTACCATGGGCAATCATGTTGGGAGTTTTTTTTTTTTTTTTTGCAAAGAAGATAAATTGTTTGGTTATGGGCTCCACATGTAAGTAATTTAAATGGAAAGAGAAGTGATTTTAATGAATTTTGGATTGAATATTTTGAGTTATTTGAACATAAAACAGTTTATGATGGAATTAAGTTTGCGTTCAATTCATGTTAGATTAAGTATGAATTAATTCTGTATTGGATTATCTTTTTAGGTAAAGCAAAAATTGGAATAGGGTACAACCTAAGTTTACGATCCAATTTCAAGGATTTGTGATTGGTTTGTTTTATAAAATATTTTTAAGGTATCTATTATTATAGAATTTTAAGATTCAGAATGAAAGTAATTATGTTCTTTTGAAACTTTTAGAAATGTGTTATGATTTAGAAAAATGTTTTATGATTTTGAATAAATGTTTAAAGCTGATGAAAAGTATTTTAGAAAGAGATTTCAAAAAATGATTTTGGAATCTCATGAAATGTATTTAGAAAGAAATATTTGAGAAATTTAGAAAAACTCTTTGAAATAAGAAAATAAGAAGTTTATAATAGTTTACGAGATTTAAGAATTCTATGCAGAAATAAGTTTTCAAACGACCATATTATTGTATCCAGGTGATTACCCGTATGGTATATAAACGTGTTTTTATAGTATACCTAGAAATATAAATGTCTTTGGGACCATTTGACTCCACGTGTTGAGAGAATTATTCTACTGTGTGTATTGAGATTACTCTACGCCAGTAGACTCAAATAGAATATGGGTTCATGTGTGGTGTTGAGTTTTTCATAGCATGTTTTATGTTTGAAGAATAATGTTTTACATCTTTTTTTTAATGTGCTTTTAGGGTAGATTGAAAAGTTGGCGTAACTAGGTCGCAGGGGACAAAGGGGAATGTTGGGGCTATTAGGGCTTGTGTTCAGCGTGACTCGTTCTTGGACTAGTATGTGTTTTAGGACTGGTCATGTCAATTATCCTCGATATTTCTATCATTGTCAAGATAAATGTAAAATGTTGCATGATATTACATTCGTTCTTTCAAGTTATTAGGCAAGTTGTGTGCTACTGGAAAAAAAAATAAAGAGAATAAAAGTAGTGTTGCATAAGACAATTAGGAGAATTATCATTCGAGGAGCAGTCAATTAATGCTACTTCTCGATGATCGTTAGTACTAAATATGGGGTGTAAATTGGCGCCAATAGTAGTACATTGTGTTTATTGTCTTATGTGATTATCATGCAACTTATCATATTTGTTATCTTCATTTTGAACCTCTAATTTTTCTTTCATCTCACCCTTACCAACACCTCGTTACAACAATTATCGAAAAGCCCTTTCATTTTTGCATTCAATCCATCTTTGAGTGGGAAGATTTGATTCATTTGCAAGCCTATGGTAATAACAAGTTTTGATTTGATTTTGAGAGTAAAAATACCCTAAAAACACTTTGAGAGATTTGAGTGAAACTCCGTGAGGGTATTAAGTGTTTTGCATTTGATTTCACTGAGTTAATAAGATTCTTGGGTTTTCATAAATTATATCCTATCATTACTTATTCTATTGATTGTCATTTTGATTCATATCATAGATGTTGATGGAAAAAATACATACATGCGCAGCGGAAGTGAGCAAGAATCGAAATAACAATCTAGATGCATAATACAACCTAGGATTAAACATGCATGATCATACATTATGATGCTTAGAGATAAGTAGAGAAAAATACAAACCTTTGTAGCTTTTCAAAAATCTTCAAATAGCTCCAATGAAGGACCACCAAGAGATCTTCCTAGCTATTCTGAAGGCTTGGAATAGAGTGGTGAGACTCTTTTTAGAGAAGGAAAAAATTAGAGAAAAGTGGAGCTAAAAGAAGTTATGTAAGCTTTTTCAAAACACATCAAATGGCCAAAGGTTCCAAGAGTATTTGATGTTTGAACAAAAGCCTTCTTAAATAGGCAAATTACATGCAACTCTTGCATGTCAAAGTTCACCAAAAGCTTACAACACATATTCCACTCATGCATGGCATGACTAAGTGTCAAAATGCATGTCTAAGTTCACCAAAAGCTTACAACACACATTCCACTCATGCATGGCATGGCTAAGTGTCAAAATGCATGTTTAAGTTCACAAAAAACTTACAACACACATTCCACTTATGCATGCATGGCTAAGTCCCAAAAAGTGGATTTTTGAGATTATTTAAATGTTCCACTCAACAAGTTAGTGGAATTTTCCACCAACTTGGTTAAAAACATTATTTTAATCTACTTTAGTCAACCTTTGACTTTCTCTGGTCAAAGTCAACTATTTGACTTTTTCCAAAATCCGATGTTTGATGAAATCCATGCCTCCGATTATGAATCCACATTCATAATTTTAATATTTAAATCATATTTAAATATTTTGTCCAAATTTCTCAAATCGATATCATATATCAATTACTTAATCATATCTCATATGATTAACCTAATTYGTACGATTTGAATTATTCCTTCAAATTATTCCAAGTTTATTCCTATATGAGCTAGCCAGGGGACCTTATGGACCTACAGATCATGAGCTCCAACGATCTGAGATTAACCGGTTAAACTCTTTAACCTAGTTAACCAACAATCGTTAACTACGCGGTCACTCCACTAAAGCCCGTAGCTGCACTCTCCTCACTGTAGATATATTATGTCCATTTGATATAACCATGATCGGTAAGTCGACCCTTCACAGGTTGTTCGTAATTACAGCTGGGTCAAAATACCGCTTTACCCCTGTAATTACCTCTTGTTCCTTAAGTCCCACTAATCCTCTGATGAACAATGATTTGTAGTCCAACTATCAAATCAAAAAATCCCCTCAAACCTTTTGATGAGGGTGGCGCCAATTGTTCAAGACCTGGATTCAGCCCTTAAGAGAACAACCTCTCTACTATCCCAAAATTGGGTAGAAGTGAATTCYTTCTTGCACCCTATGTCCCTAGCTATCTACCGGGTCTTACCCYTGAAATGGGAGGCTTATTGAGCCAGCGCTGTTGAGCTGCTCTCACCCATGCAGATCTAAGGATAATCCCGAGTAAAYAGAAGTTCATAGTTAGCTCAGGATTAAGATCGAGTTACCTAGGCCATCAAAGTTGAGATAGTYAGTTTCAAACAGTAAACGGTGTTATAAAGTAAAAGTGACTATCTCATGGTCCGGTCTTATGCAAACTCTTTGCACGGGACACCC